CAAGTCTTTTGCTATGAAAGACTTAGGACCTGCAAAACGAATCCTCGGTATGAGTATATCCCATGATAGAAAAAATCAGAAGTTGAGGTTATCACAAGAAAGTTATATCGAGAAGGTACTAAAGCGGTTTAACATGGATAAAGCAAAACCAGTTTCTACTCCATTTCCTAGTCACTTCACGCTTAGTTCAAAGCAAAGTCCTACATGTGAGAAAGAAAAAGAAAACATGGCTATGGTGCCATATTCCTCAGCTGTTGGTAGTATGATGTATGCAATGATTTGCACAAGGCCAAACATAACGCATGCAGTTGGCATTATAAGCAGATTCCTGTCTGAACCAGGCAAAGAGCATTGGAATGCTGTGAAGTGGATTCTCAGATATCTCAGGGGTACCTCCAAAATGAGTTTATGCTTTGGAGGTGGAAAACCTGAATTGATTGGCTACACAGATGCAGACATGGCAGGAGATCTTGATTCTAGAAAATCTACTTTTGGATACCTGATTACATTTTCAAGGGAGTTTCGTGGCAATCAAAGTTGCAGAAATGTGTTGCTCTATCAACTACAGAGGCAGAGTTTATTGCAGCTACTGAAGCGTGCAAAGAAATGCTCCGGATGAAGCGATTCCTACAAGAATTAGGGCAAGAGCAGCACAAATACATTTTGCATTGCGATAGTCAGAGTGCGATCCACTTGAGCAAGAATCCGAGTTTTCACTCGAGGTCGAAGCACATTGATGTGCGATATCACTGGATACGTGATGTGTTGGAGTCAAAGCAATTACAGCTTGAGAAAATCCATACTGATGATAATAGTTCAGATATGATGACCAAGTCCTTACCTAAGGACAAGTACGAATTTTGCAGAAGGAGCAGCTGGACTGCTGGAGCCCTCCACCTAAGTCGGGAGGGGGAGATTGATGGGTTTCCCTCGTTAGTGGAGGAGAGAAAAAGAAGGAAATAAATATTAAAATAAATAAAAGAAAGGACAGGAAAATTTGAAGAAAACGAACATAAGAGAAAATGAGAAAAACTCTCTCTCATGCAAGGCCACCAATTTGTTAGGAACATTGGCTATAAAAGCAGCAGCCTTCTTTCAGTTCAAATCATCCCTTAGAAAACCAAAACATAGAGAGTTTTGAGAGATAAGAAAACCTCACTTGTGTGAGAGAGAAAATCCTCTTGAGAGAAAACCCAAAAGAGAGTTTAGCCACTGGTGTTTGGTGAGATTATTATTGTATTCCCATTATTTTTTCTTAGTGGAAGATAGAGTGTTAATTTTGCCCATTTTATTTACACAAGGCTAGGAGAAGTTAGATCCTAGGAGTGCCATATTTATTTATTGGCTCTTTGATTTTTCACCATCTTTCCCAACATTGTTGACAGCAAAGTGTGAGGCATTGAATTGCTTCAAGCTTTTCAAAAAGATGGTGCAGAAAGAGAAAGGGTTGTTTGTTAAGTGCTTGTGGACAGATAGAGGGGGGAAATTCACTTCAAATGACTTCAATGATTTTTGCGAACAAAGTGGAATCAAGAGACAGTTAACCACTGCATATACGCCACAACAAAACGGCATAGCGGAGAGGAAAAATTGAACCGTGATGAATATGGTCCGTTCCATGCTGTCTGAAAAGAAGATTCCGAAAACATTTTGGGCGGAGGCTGTGAATTGGACTTTCTATGTTCTGAATAGGTGCCCGACATTGGCAGTGAAGAATGTCACACCACAAGAGGCGTCGAGTGGAGTAAAGCCCTCAGTTGAGTATTTTTGGGTTTTTGGATGCATAGCTCATGTTCACATTCCAGATGCAAGAAGAGGTAAATTATATAATAAAAGTTTTGCTTGTGTTTTACTAGGAGTTAGTGAGGAGTCCAAGGGGTATAGATTGTTTGATCCTATAGCTAGAAAAATTGTTGTGAGTAGAGATGTTATTTTTTAGGAAAAAAAAACAGTGGGATTGGGGAGTGAATTTTGAGGCGCAAATTTTGTTAGACTTGGAGTGGGGAGAGAATGAAGAAAACAATGAGGGTGAAGAAAGGGTGAGTGAAAATGGAGATGAAGATGACAATGGTGATAGAGGGGAAATAAGTGAGAGTGAGGGCAGTGAAGAAGCACGGGGTAGAGAAGTAGGAAATCCTAATGGGCATGATGTGAATGAAGGGAGAGTGAGACGTCCTCCTCTTTATTTGAACGATTATGTTAGTGGAGAAGGTTTAAGTGAAGATGAGGCACACATGGCACAAGTTGTGGCAACTAAAGATCCTTTTCATTTTGAAGAAGCAATGAGGAATGTGAAGTGGAGACAAGCTATGGACAGTGAGATCAACTCCATTGAAAAGAACAAGACATGGACATTAACTGAGTTGCCTGCTGGAGCTAAAAAGATCAGTGTCAAGTGGGTTTACAAGACCAAGTACAATGAGCATGGGGAGATTGACAAGCACAAGGCACGCTTAGTAGCCAAAGGCTACTCATCGAAGCACGACATAGGCTACACAAAGGTCTTTGCACCAGTGGCAAGGATGGACACGGTTAGAACGATCATTGCGTTGGCAGCACAAAATGGTTGGAAGATTTTTCAGTTGGATGTCAAGTCAGCATTCCTTTATGGAGAGCTAAGTGAAAATGTTTATGTTGAGCAACCAAGGGGTTACGAGAAGAAAGGCAAGGAGCATTTGGTCTACAAGCTACACAAGGCTTTGTATGGATTAAAACAAGCTCCACGAGTTTGGTTTAGTCGGATCAAAGCACATTTCATCAATGAAGGCTTCCAATGGTGTGATAGTGAGCAAACTTTATTTACAAAGAGGAATAGAGAAGGAAAGATTATCATTGTAAGTATCTATGTTGATGATTTAATTTTTACTGGTAATGACGAGGATATGATGTCTGAGTTCAAGAGTTCTATGTTAAGAGAATTTGATATGTCTGATTTGGGAAGCATGAGATTTTTTCTTGGCATCGAAGTACTTCAAAGTGCAGATGGTATCTTTATATGTCAAAAAAAGGAGTGCACTGGAAATTCTGAAAAGATTTGGGATGCTGGAAAGCAATGAGGTGAATAGTCCGATTGTTCCAGGCTTTAAGATCAGTAAAGATGAAGATGGAATCACTGTGGATGAGACGTACTTCAAGCAATTGGTGGGAAGCTTGATGTACGTTACTGCCACGAGACCAGACATGATGTTTGTCACCAGCCTCATAAGCAGGTACATGGCAAAACCAACTGAGCTTCATCTACAAGCTGCGAAGAGAGCTCTTCGATATCTAAAGGGGACTGTGAATTATGGCATTCATTACAAGAGAGGTGGAGATGGTAAATTGCTTGCTTTCACGGATAGTGATTATGCTGGAGATATGGAAGATAGGAAGAGTACAAGTGGCTATGTGTTCTTGTTGAGTTTTGGTGTTGTGTCATGGAGTTTGAAAAAATAGCCAATTGTTACACTATCTACTACCGAAGTAGAGTTTGTAGCAGCTACGGAAGAGTACAAGTGGCTATGTGTTCTTGTTGAGTTTTGGTGCTGTGTCATGGAGTTTGAAAAAATAGCCAATTGTTACACTATCTACTACCGAAGTAGAGTTTGTAGCAGCTATAGTGTGTGCGTGTCAAGCAATTTGGATGAAAATAGTATTGAAGGAGCTCGGGCATAATGATGAAGTCTGTACTCATATCAAGTGTGATAATAGCTCAACCATTAAGCTTTCAAAGAATCCTGTGATGCATGGTCACAGCAAACATATCGATGTAAGGTACCACTTCTTGAGGAATCTTACAAAGGAGGGTTCGATGGCTTTGGTTCATTGTGGGAGTGTTGATCAAGTGGCAGATGTAATGACCAAACCACTGAAGGTTGATGCGTTTCAGAAGCTTCGGAGCCTGTTGGGAGTTTGTGAGATTGCTGATGTAAACTAAATGCTTGATGGCAGTTAGTTTAAGGGAGGGAATGGTGGGTTTGAGATTCCTAATTAATACTATAGGATTCTTAGATATTTAGGTATGTTTTCTGTTTCAAATAAGTCCCTACTATGTAGGGAGACTTGTTTTACTATTTTTGACTCTTTCCTTATGCACGTTACCACGTTTCTGTTAGTGTGAATCATGGGCTGTATTTCAGCTGTTTGTTAGTTCATGTAAGGCTATATAATAGCCAAAGGCTGCTGTTCAATAATAAGTCATTCAATCCAGTTCTTGCGTTTGAGTTCTTTGCTTTCTTGGTCTCATTCCCAACACACCCCACCACTCTTTATATTAAGTTTTAGAAAAACACAAACTCCTCTACACCTTTATTTTATCAAAGATTATTGAAGAGAAGTTTGTTTTATCCAAAGATTTATGACCCTTTGCTGTTTGGAATTTTAAAAAAAACTAGTAAAGTATAACTACCACCCTCTTTTCCCATTTTGAAATATGGGATTGGAATATGAAATTCTATTGTATAAATATCGAATCAGACAATAGAAATATTAATTTGTTAGGTGGATCAAATTGACATATAATTTTGATTTTTTGAAGTAGCAAGATGCTCTAGTTGCTTTATGTTCATGTGTCTACTAATACCATCTCCAGTAGGGTATTTATCCATCGTTTTTCCTAGTTCATTCTAAAAAAAAAAAATTCATTTTTAAAATAATAAAAAAATAATTATGCTACACATTTGACAACATTTTTTTTATCTCATTAAGTAATGTGAGGGTGAGGTGAACTTAGAGTGGTGAGGGCAAGATAGCGGGGGTGTGGGGTGTGAGGTTGATGAGTTTTTTATTTTTATTTTTTCTTGTGTGTGTATATTTAAGGGTAGTTTGGAAAGAAAGTGGGGCTTTCTTAGAAATTGTGAAAATTTGAATCAAAAGTTGGGGTGAACTTAGAATATGAGGTGAACAAAGAAAAGTTCGGGATTTAAATAGAAAAACTATTTTTTTATTGTATAATAAATGTTCATTTGGCCAATCATAATTCCAGTCCCTAAATTAAATTTAATAAAAATGATTCAATTTCATTAAGGGGTAAACGACAGCGTTTCCTCGCACTCACCAGCGTGCTTGAACTCCTGCACTTCCTTAAAGCCCACCCATGGCTTCACCCAGACTTTGGCTTCGTAAAGCTTCTTCTTTCCGGCATCGATTGCCTCGATCGTCAGATGGTGCAGAGTGCCAGCAACCACCTGCTCCTTCGCCTTCACCACCCTCACAAACTCAAGCAGAGCATTCTGCACAATTTTCAATTAATTGAAATTCCAGCATAATATTGTAGAAATTAAAAGGCAAAAAAGAGTAAAGACCTCCTTGTTGTTGTGATCTTGGACGGCGAAGCGAGCGAGGTCTTCGGTTTCGAGGCTGTTCTGGGAGGCATGGGATTCGTGGACTCCGCCGAGAGTGGCTATGTTTTGGAAATGGGAGGGATTTGATTCTTCCGCAAAGGATGAGAATGCAAGGAAAGGTAAGAGGACGGAGAAGATGAGTTGCATAAACAGACACAAGAAAGAAGAAGAAGAAGATGATTTTGATTTTAATTTCATCTGCTTTTGTTTTGTGTTTGGGTTTCTGACACTTTGTAAGACAGATAGGAATTTATCTCTTTCGCTGCTCGGAGTCTTTTTCTATACATGTCAAACACGTGTCGCTTTGAGTATCTTTCTTTGCTTAGTCGGTAAGCTTTTCTTTTCCTTTTTCTATTTACTCTTTTCTTTTTCTTTAATTCAAGCGTAGTCTGTAAGTAAACAAAAACAAAAACAAAAACCCAAACCAACGGAGGAAAAAAAAATACTATTTTTGTTTGGAACAAAAAAAAAAACTTATGACATGTTTAGGATCTGGTATCTTATTTGGATGCAATTCTATAAAATGAAAAATAAATTTTAAGTCCAAAGCCACAAAAATCAATTTGGTAGGCCCATTTTTTAAAACCCAAACCCAAGAAAAACTCAAAAGCACCCCATTATTAAAAACAAAAAATCATATATAATTTATAGTTTTTTTTTTTCTATCTCTCCTCCCTCTCTCCACGCTCTCTATCTCCTCCCTCTCTCTCTCTGCCCTCCCCCGTCTCTCCATCTCTCTCCTCCTTTCCCCATTTCTTTCATTCTCCTTCCACTCTCTCTCTCTGAGCATGTCTAAACTTTTTTATGGTGTTCATTGAGGACGTCTAAAATTTTAAATTAGAAAAAAGAAGAAGAAGGTGGACACGATTTGGGTGGGCTGAGGAGATTTTTGTGTGGAAGCTAGGTGTGCCATAGAAGAGAGAGGAGGAGGAAGGGGTGGAGGGAAGGGGGAATGGAAGAAGGGTCTGTGAAGAGGGAAGGGGGAATGGATTTCAAGGTGGGCAAAGTTGGTTGGAGCTTTCCATGTTTAAAATATCCTTGAAAACAGAAAGACTAAAAACCCCTTCAAATATATGGAAAATTATATAATGTTAAAGTCTGACAATAAATCATGAAATTTGAAAATTTAAGTGACATGTCTGAGTAGAAATCTTTCATTAGAATCATAAATGGGTCATGGTAGAGAGAGGAAGATGATGATTACAATTCGGTAAAAATGATCCTTTCTGATATCCCTCTCAAAGAATCATGTTGGCAAGGTCGTTTATTGGTTCTAAAGAAAGAAGGAAAATATCAACAAGTCAAAGAACGTGGATTTCTCTTGGGGGGAAAGCCAGAGGAAAATCAAATCACGAATGGAAGCGTTTAGCTTTCAGAGGAAGATTAAGCATTACAGTAGCTATTAAAGGATATTCTTAGTGGAAG